ATGGCGACCCTATGGATGAGACCTCTCCAAGAAGATCCTCTGTCCTCCATGGCTCTGCTTAAATTCTGCAGACCCTTAATTAATCCCCAAAGGGACCTCCTTAATAATAGAGTCCATTTATCTGGCCTATGGCCTTCCTCTCTTCCTCCTTCCTTCCACTTTCCCAGCATTATTGTCTTTTCCAGTGATTCATGCCTTCTCATGATGTGTCCAAAGTACGACAGTCTCACTTTGGTCTTCTTGGCTTCTTCCAGGGAGAGTTCAGGCTTGATCTGTTCAAGGACCCATTTGTTTGTCTTTTTGGCCATCCATGGCATCCTCAGCACTCTTCTCCATCCCCACATTCTCTCAAATGAATTGCTATTCTTCCTCTCCCCTTTCTTAACTGTCCAGATCTCACATCCATCCATCCATGGGAATAGGGAATACAATGGCTTGGACGACTCTAACCTTACTGTTCAGCTGTATATCTTTGCACTGTAATCTTAATAGCTGTATATCTACCAACTTAAGGATTCTATGATTCATAACCAGCAACTTGAATGCTGTCTGGAAAAGAGACTGGTAGCAGTGAAGCTGTTTCAAGAGGTGTGTGTGTCACACATGATTCCTATAACCAGTCCATTCAGAAGCCTGGCCACAGCAATTTTGGACCTGCTGGAGTTTCCAAATACCGTAGTTTCCAACAGGTGCCCATTACTGCTTCTGTCTAGCAATACAGCAACCAAAAAAAAGAGCCCATCGCCATCTCTGGCATCTTCCCCATGGCACTCTTGTGCACCTTTGATCCTCCAAGGCTTTTGGCTCATCTCAAGCCTTTCCCCATGAAAAGCAGGAGGAAACCTTACAGCAGTGAGTCAAGCCAACAGGCGTCATCTGAGTAGTAACCACAGACTCATCTACTTCAGCTCCAGCTCCATGTTTGCCCTTTCAAGGAAACTCATCAAGCAAGGATGCCATGCTTCCTCAAGACAACTGAAGTTTACCATGCACATCTGTGCAGCTCAGCAAAAAGGTCATTTTGGGGGGCAGCTTCTGATAACAACCAGATGTTGGGTTTTGCTTTCGCTACTGGGGAATCTACTGCAGCCCTTTTGCTGTTTGCACTGTTATGTTGCTAGATATATTTCCTCCACTCCTCCTTTTGATGCTTTGGAATCGTTTCCAAAGCTGTTTGTAGTTGCAGGATCCTGTATCAGGACCGTGTTTGCAATCTGTACAGCCTTCCCCCGCGGGGGTCATTGCTTTGGTCACGATCTTCTCTGGCTCCCTCTTCATACCCAACGCCCGGCCAACCTCCGACGGAGATGTAAAATATTCATGTATTCCGGATGTATTGTTCAGCCGCTTATTACAAATGATGGCTCGACTGTCCCACATGTCTTCTTCTCAAGAGGTGGCAAATGTGATCAGACAGCTTAATAATCAGCCCAGATTTAATTCCAGAAAAGAGTGATCAGTCAGGGAGGTTTCTGCTTGTTTATTTGTTCCTTGGCACCACGACACTGTGTTAAACTTTTTAAATGCCCACACGGAAAATAGTGCTTACACATCAGCCCTTTGGAAAGGGAAGTGCCGTGGGAATACGTGGCACTGATTATATTGCGAATGCAATTACGACTAAGTCAGAGCCTCTTGGAAGAATTAAAGGTCACCCTCATGGCATCAGGATCTCTGCCATCTGCTCAGCAGCAGGTTAGAAAATGCCTGGTACCCAGCTAATGGAAACACAGAGTTCTTGCTTTCAAAGGGAGGGTTCAACTAGTGCTAAGGGGGACCCCTTTTTGGAGGACACCTCTGGTAACACCAGAGAATGAGCATGGTGCAGGGGTTTGGGCATTGAACCAGGGATAGGCAACCTTTCCCCTTTAAGGGCAGGGAGACTTCAACTCCCAGAAGCCTCAGCCATGTTGGCCAATAGTCCCATGTTGGCCAATAGCTCCTGGGATTCTGGGAGCTGAAGTCCCTCGGCCCTTAAAGGGGAAAGGTTGCCTACCCCTGCATGAACTATGACTCTGGAGATCAGGGTTCGAGTCCTTGCTCAGCCATGGAAACCCACTGGATGACCTCAGGTGAGTTACGCCCTCTCAGCCCCACAAAACCACGTGATAAGTTCACTTTAGGATTGCCATTAGTTGGAAAGGCCTTGAAAGCATGCAACAACAAAAACTCTGATAACACTAGTGGCAAGGATGTGAATAAGAGCTCTTAATATTCATCATGGTGTAGTGGTTTG